AACCAAAATGATGACCACTTTTAGAAAAATTTCTTCTTCTCGATGCTGCTCTCCTTAAAATTGATGATGGAGATTTATATTAAATTTAGCACGTATCACTTTACAATATTCGGTACTTAGCGAATTTGTGAATGTCTTTTGTATGGATTATTGTTGGCGTTATACACACGCGACGGGAAGAAAACTATAGGCACGCGATATGTAAAATACTGCACATCAACGATCTGAGACAAATTTATCACACAAAAACACTCGCGAATTCTTTCCTTTCGAAGGACCATGTACGATGTACACAAAGAAGTAAACTATATTGGCGCTGGAATATATAATTAAAAAATTCGCGTTTAGTACAACGTACGTTTATTCTCCACATTGGTTGGTACAGAACAGGGGGGGAATCAGTGTTGTCAACACTAAACCTTTAATACAATGTTGTCACAGGATAAACGTAAAAATTACTAAAATTAAAGTCAAATGTTGATAATTCCAACAAGTATATCTGCTATCTGTGAACCCGTTGGACAATATTTGACCGTTATTCTGTTGTTATCAATCTGATCTTTTAGATAGTAGTATCTTACGTCTATGTGTTTGCTTCTTTTATTCATAATACCTTTCTTCATAAGCCAAATAGCTGACTGGTTGTCCACTTTCATTTCTATTTCCAATTTTTCATTGGTCATTTCAAATATCAAATCTCTTATAAACAAAAGTTCTTTGCAACATTCTGCTGCGGCTATAAATTCTGCTGCTGTACTTGATAAGGCTACAATCTGCTGTTTCCTTGAACTCAATGCCACTGGTCCACCGTTCAACCAAATCACATAACTCGATGTACTACGTCTAGTGTCTGGATCCCTCGCGAAATCTGAATCACAGTTACCACGGAGCACTTTATCACCTTCAGCATAGTGAATGCCTTTCTTTATCGAACCTTTTAAAAATTTTAAATAGTTTCTGCATTATTTAAATCATTTAAATTTGGAGCACTTTGTTGGCGCGAGCAATACCCTACATGGTAGCTAATGTCTGGCCTCGTTTTGTTGGCCAGGTATAACAATAATCCTATCATTTCCCTGTAGAGTTCATGACTCTCTGTATCTACTTTCACCTTAGGGTGTTGTTCTATCAAGATTGTTGGGATTTTGCACTCTCTAGCTTCATTTAAATTAAATCTCTTCAAAATTTTTTCGATATACATTTCTTGACAAATTTTCACTCTTTTCTCTTCATGTTTTATTTCCAGTCCGATATAGTTTGATACTTCTACGCAGATTCTTAGATCAAATCCTTATCTCAACGTTTCCACTATATGCATCAGATCTTCTTCTTTCTCACCAACTACTAATCCGTCATCAACATAAATAGCAAGAATTATTTTTCTTTTACCTTCCATCACAAAAATACACTGATCTAACTTTAATTGTTCAAACCCCATTTTAACTAAGAATTCTGTGAATTTAATGTTCCACATTAATGGAGCTTGTTTAAACCCATATAAACTCTTATTCAGTTTGCATACTTTATCTCCTTTATTGCTATAACCTTTTGCAACTTTTAAATAAATGCATTCCTTCAAATCTCCATTTAAAAAGGCTGTTTTAATATCAAATTGTTTCATTTTTTATTTTTTATTTGCAATTTTACAAAAGTACTCTCGAGGAATTTGTGTTTACAACAGGACTATATGTTTCATCATAATCTATTTTATATTTCTGTTGAAATCCTCTTGCGACTAATCTTGCTTTGTATCTACCATCCGGTTTCACCGTAAAAATCCATTTACTTGTTACTAATTTTCTTCCTTCTGCTTCTTTTTTATCCACGAATGTCCACGTATTATTGTCTTCCAAAGACTTGATTTCTTCCTCAATTGCTTTTTTCCATTTATCTTTTTCTTTTGATTCTAGAGCCTCCTCATACGTTAACATAGACGTTTCCATACCATATTCAATTATATAATCTTTGTATCTTTCTGGTAATCTTCTATTTCTTTCAGGTTGTTTTCTTCTACTTATTTTCCACCGCTCGACTTCCCTCAATTTCTTCACAACTTTTTCTATTTTCTGCTTCAGTCTCTACATTCTTTCGACTTTGATCTTCTTCAATATTTACTTCCTCTCGACTCCAATTTTCTTCCATTTGTTCATTATCAAAAACTTCTTCATTTTCTTCATGTTGTAAAACGTTATCAAAATTAAAACCACTTTCAAAACTATTGCTATTATTCACATTTAGATAAGATAAGATAAAAACACTTTATTGTACAACACACAACAGAAATAAATAACGAGTAACTTACAAATATTAAAACTATTGCACAATAGGCACTATTGCACATTTTTTCTTTTTACTTCATTTATTCGACCATCATTTGTTTCACCATTATTTGTTCTGTCTTCATTTGTTCGGTTATCATTTGTTTCACCATATTTTCTTCTATCTTCACTTGTTTGACTATCATTTGTTTCTCTAGAAATTCTACCTCTCCTATCTTCAACTCCTCGACACCCTTCATTGCTTTCTGTTGAATTTTGACTTATTTCATCTTCGTCTGTTTGCTCAACTTCATCCATCTGCCAGAGTCCATTTATTTTAACCATATTTTCTTCATCATTTAAATATATCCCTTGTTCTTCTTCATTTATTCTCACATCCCTTGATCTTATTATTCGTTTTTCAATATCCACCCAAATTTTATAGCCCTTTCTAACATAGCCGATGAGAATTCCTTTGCTGCATCTTTCATTAAGTTTTCGTAATCCAAAAATTGTTTTAAAATAAGCTGTAGATCCAAATCTTTTGATGTTCGATAAATCGGGTTTTATATTGAACCACATTTTTGCAGGCGTCTTGTCTCGCCCCTTTGTTGGACTTCTGTTGATGAGATAGCTAGCCGTTAGCAATGCTTCACCCCACAAATAGTTCGGAACCCTGCCGTCAAAAATTAAGGCTCTTGTGCGTTCCATCAGCGTTCTATTTAATCTTTCCGCTTTTCCATTTAGTTGAGGCGTGTAAGATATTGTTACATCCAGCACTATTCCTTTTGACATGAACCACACATGTAGGCTATTGCTCGAGTATTCACCCCCATTACCGCATCTAATTTTCTTAACTTTTTTATTAAAATGATTTTCAGCCATACACACAAATTCTTTAATTTTATCAAGGCATTTACTTTTGAAGGTAATCAAGTAAACGACACAGAAATGCGTAAACTCATCTAAAAACGTAATAAAATATTTCTTGTTGTCCCAAGTTGGAACTTCAATATGACCGCAAATGTCTGTATGAATAATTTCTAAAGCGAATTTAGCTTTAATTCTGTTGTTTCCAAACGATTTTCGAGTCATTTTGGCTTTTGTACCGATTTCGCAAAATTTGTTCGAATGTCCCCCCTTAATTTCGATGCCGTTTACCAGTTTCGCTAGACGAGGCACGTCGGATACATGACCTAGCCTCCGATGCCAGATGTTGATGCTCTCAGTAATTAGAGCTTCACTAGTATAATTAGCCAAAAATTATGTTTCATAAAGTCCGGTTTTAGTTTTGTTTCCTATCAAAACTGTTCTATTGAAAAATTTTATAAATACCTCATCTCCAGAGAAATGTGCCGTGCCTCCATTATCGGTTATAGCACTTACTGAAATTAGATTTCTTGAGATTCCCGGCACAAATAATACATCTCTAAGCCGTCCGAAATCAGTCTCAATCATCCCAGTCCCTTGCGCTATCAAATTCTCCGCATTGGCACAGCTAATTTTTACTTCTATCTTCTATGTAATTTGTATTATATTTTTATTACTGAAAGAATATGCAAAATAATAATATGTAACACCAGAATCAATAACTGCTTTGACTCGAATTTTAAATTTATTACTTACCCGGTTACTTTGATACGGCAGAATTTTTCAATATGACCCTTCTTGTTGCATTTTCTACAATTTTTTGTAGAAAAACAGTTTCTAGTCGTGTGACCTACCTTATGGCAAATATTATTACTTTCTTTACATGCCCTAGAAATGTGTCCTATTCTTCCACAGTTGTAGCATTTTATTTCATCGGATTTGAATGCTTCATTACAACATCTTGATGTGCTAGGTATGTTTAAACTGTTTATCTGTTTTTGTATTTTATTAACCAAATTAAAAAATGTTTTCTCTATTATTGGAGTTATATCCCAAATTGTTTTAAAATAATTTAAGCTTTCTGGTAACATGTTTAAACTTTTATTCATTAACATTTCTTCCGTAATACTTTTTGGTTCTAATAAATTAATTTCTGAATACAAAGGACATCGCCGAAAATGGCCCCAATACCATTAAATATTATTACTTCAATAATAATTATTAATTAATTTATTGAATTGAAATCAAATATTTATTTGACACGGACAAGCTGCGATCCAAAATTAATATTTAAAAGTACTTTAACAGTTACATTTTTATTCGCAAATATTCACATTCAATATACTTAAATTCTATTGAGTCAGATGGATGTAATTTACAGGTCAGATCAAGAAGATCATTTATTTTTATTAGATTACCTTTAAATCATCGAACACAAAAACATTAAATTAAATTGACCGAAAATAAACTTAAATTTACTAAAAGCGCCATCTCTTGGTGATTTTCCAACTAAAACATAAGAACATAAAAACTGAATACTATACAAACTAAATTCATTAACTGTTGACAATTCACTCTTGTTTATTCATAAAGATTGATATTCATACGACATATCCTAAAAACTACTTTGTTTCTATTACATTACCTTTATATTTCTCGTAAACATATTAACATCATGTCATTTATCAAAAAGCTATAGGTTTTTTAATTTTAAGCTTATCAATAGGTATATTATTTAACTATTAGAATGGACTATTTGTCTATTGATTGACTTAGAAACTTTTACAAATCACAACGAAAAACCGACTTTCTTAAAGTTGAGTTTTTTGCTGCGACCTCAACAAACCCTTCGATTGTGTTATCAAGAGTATATAATTATTTTACGTGAATTATAATGTCAATCTGCAATGAGTTGTTACTTAACTCTGTTATAGATATCTCTTGTTGAGCTAAAGATATTTTTTCAATAATTTGCTTTGTTTCATACCAATACGATTTTGGCTTGCGAAAGGTGGGAGTGAGGTCTTTTGTAGCTTTATATTGGTGGGGAGTGGTAGGAGGTGATGTGTGTGCAGGCAATATTTTATTCTCAATTGATCGTATTTTAATGCCATCCTTGTATACCACTTCTTTTAAAATCTCTATCTTTTGCTTTTCTGGTTGCTCTTTATCAATTGCTAATTTATGCTTTAACTGTTCCTTCCATCGTTGACGTTCCATCTAAAACCAAGTTTCACAAAATAAATACGGTTAACAATAGACAATCTTGTCATGAGCAATTAGTAAAACAGTGCAAATTTTTTATAAAGTCAAGAAGAGTTTGTATAGTAGCTATTATCTCATATGTTAAAATAAAAGCTGCACTTCTTCTTCTTTCGTGTCAATGGCAACCAAAACTAAATGTCAAAGCTGCACTAAAGTTTTAAAACTCTAATATCAGGTTTTGTTGGGACGCCTCGCTCCCCACAAGATAGAAAGAAGACCACCTTATTAATCTTCAATCAGTCTGTCGCAGCAGGTACATTTATCAGGGTTCCGTATCCAAATAGCAAAAAACGTTATGTCTGTCTGTCCGTCCATATGTCACAGCCACTTTTTTTCCGAAACTATAAAAGCTATATTGTTAAAACTTGGTAAGTAGATGTATTTCTTGACCCGGATTAAGATTTTCACTCAAAAATAGGAAAAAGTAATTTTTGGGGGTTCCCCATGCATGGAACTGAAACTTATTTTTTTTTATCAAACTCATACGTGTGGGTTATCTATAGGTCTTTAAAAATTATATTGAGGTTTCTAAGATCATTTTTTTTCTAAACTGAATAGTTCTCGCGAGAGAAACTTCCGAAGTGGTAAAATGTGTCCCCCTCCCCTGTAAGTTCTAAAATAAGAGAATGATAAAAAAATAAATAGATGATGTACACATTACTATGTAAACTTTCATTGAAAATTGGTTTGAACGAGATCTAGTAAAAAGTTTTTTTTTTATAAATAGTACGGAACCTTTCGTGCGCACTTGGTCAGTTTTCATTAGTAATATCATTGAAGGATATTTTTCCGCGGTAAAAAGTAGCTTTTCAAGGTCCTAGCCTAAATTCATCAAAATCATTTCAACCGTTTTGCCGAATACCAAAATAATAATATACATTATCCTATTTATAATATTAGTAGGGATAAAGCTATTATTACTATGAAAATGTTTAGTGTTTGTCAATAGGTACTTAGAACAAAATTTACCTTTTCTATAAGTGTTAGGCACTTCTGATACAAATTGTACTGCACCGTCTATAGCTATCTGAAAAAATAAGAAGAATAAATTAATGATAGACTACCTTTTTTACCCAATCACTAAGCGACAACCTATCAAATACATTAGAACTAGTCTTATATTTGAGTGAGTTTTCAAAACATCACTAACTTTCTATAACACATATATTAGGCTCAGGCTTTATTTTAACTAACAAAAACTTTTTTTCAATAACACAAACACGCTTTCTCAATATCGACGTCCTCGCATAACTGTCGCGCGATCGGAATGGTGTACTCAGAGAATACATCGGGCTGGGGGAAGGGGGCGGGTCTGGTTAGAATGGTGTATTGATCACTGTACACAAAATTAAATTCTATTCTTACGATGTAACAAAGATTTTCACTATTAATTAAATGTTTGATTTGTAGTAACTGTTCGATAAACACACACCAGTTCGAACTATACTGCTGTATCTTTGGCAACGTAAAATTTTTGAGCGGCTGAAATGCTGTATCTCTTAAAAATCTACATTCGCAATAGAAAAATAATGTTGTAACTATTTCTCATTCTGGACTTATTGTCGTATCTATTTTACTTTCGAAAGTTGCGATTTTGCGTCTTTTACAGCAATTTATCGTATAAACAGCAGAAAATCTACAAAAAAGTCAACGGCGTATCATTTTTTTTTCATCGTAGAAAGACGAGACATATACCATTCGACGCGGCTTTTTTTTTTCTTATCGACAATACACTTAAAGGCCAATATTCGAGTTACAACACTTCCGCTTTCTGCCGTCGATATTATTGTTTATCACGGTTACGCTGTTTTGTGAACAACTTAATTGAAATAATTTGTGTAGTGAGACATGGTGGGGGATTCAGATGCGGAGTGGCACGTGCAGCAGGCTCCGCGTGCTCCAAATATTGCTAAGTACGCACCTGTTTGAAGTTAATGAAAACTAATGTAAGACTTTAATGTAATTGTTCCTGTGCATATGTAAACATACTTTTTCAGACGTAAACGCTCGATCCGAGCTATAAGTAGTCAAGTGGACGCTTTGTTAGCCAAATTAGAATCAAACACTTTTATGGTCACAAGGCGGTTCACCAGACTACAAAGTCGCGAGAATTTTGACGCGGCGTGGAAATTTGGCTAAGGAGTTAAACCGTCATGATAACGGGTCAACAGAAACGCCAGATGACGGTAAATTTTGTTCATTATTGTTAAGTTCAATATTAGCCCTTGTCTTTTGTAAATTAAAAAAGGTAGGTAATCTTGAATTTCAGGTTTGGCGAGATCTAAAAAGTAGAGCCTGCACAAAGGCAGCAAAATTAAAAAAAGAAAAGGCCCAAACAGGAAAACAGGACATCGATACCCTTCCTCTGACTGAAGTGAAAAGGCGAATTGTGTCATTAGTCGGGGCAGATTATACTGGGGGTACTAATTGCCCTGACTCAATTGCCAGAAATAGTGGTAAGTTTAGAATTATGGATCTACTCTTTTCCAAAAAAATCATATAGTCACAAAACTTAATCCCTAATCTATAAATATATTATTTTTTCTTTATAGATAATTCAAGATTTGGATACTGCAGAAACAGCATTATTAACTCCTAGTAAGTTATTAACTTCTAGTAAGTGTGATTCTATGTTATAATTTACCATTGTGTGAAATTTTATGTAAAGGTTTAAATTCCCATTTTTCTTAGGTATTGAAGTACAAGATATTGCAGAAAATATAGCTCCAACAGTAGCAATGCCCAGCATTACAGAATCCTTACAACCATCCACATCACAGTCCCCTCCAATATGTAAGTTTATTTTTGTTAATAAATGACTAACATCCACTTAGCCTTAAAACAACTGCAGCAATGAACATGTGTGAAGTACATTTTAACTTTTTTTATTTTATTGCATTAGATCTACATTTTAATCTCACAAATCTTAAGTTCACAATTTTTTTAATGGTGAGAATAAGCCACAATAAAAATCTGTAAATATTTATCTGTACAGAATGAAATAAATGCTTGTGTAATACAAGGTGTTAGGAAAACGCTTCCGAATCTTTAACATGGTTATTATACCATATTAATGGAGTCCTACAAAAATATTTGTTTACTTGAATAATTAGTATTTAACGAAATCGTATTTTCTAAGCACGCAATGTAAAACGTACAAATACACGGGTGAACGACCGCGCGGCGCGAGCGCTTTTGATAGTTGCACACATGCATAAACGAGCTCACACAAACACACACAGAGACGATCGTAAGTACTACGTACTACGTAAAGTAATTTATTACAATAACCTTTAATTTTATTATAAGTAACGATTAATTTAACCAGTTAAACTTAACATCATGATTTTTATTGTAATGCAAAAACGTACTTACCTGTTCATGTTCTCCGCGGTCTAACTAAGTGTGGCTCGAATTGTGCCCCATTCATCTCAACACAAATTCGAGCCCGTCGCCGCGTCTCTTCGTGAAGTCGAGGCATGAGAGTTGAGTCCTCGATACAACTCGTTCTTATTGTCTCGAATGCACTCACAATTCTTGCCCGCATTTCCTCAGCACTGTCACAAACTCTATTGAACACTTTTTCTTTAACACACCCCCACAAAAAAAAGTCCAAAGGTGTCAAATCAGGAGATCGTGGTGGCCAGGCTTGCGGTCCTAATCGCCCGATCCAACGGTCACCAAATAGTTCAGTGAGACGCTCACGTACCGGCCGTACCACATGCGGCGGTGCGCCATCGTGTTGAAACCAAGCCCTTCTTAGCTCAGCTAATGATATGCCTTCAAGAATTTCATCAAGGCTCTCATTAATGAACCTAAGATACCCAGCTCCGTCAAGTCGTTGTGGTAGAAACACCGGCCCAAAGATAACATTGTTGAAGACGCCAGCCCAAACGTTGACCGACCATCGGGTTTGGTGGCCAGTCTCTTGAGTGGCACGTGGATTGGTTTCAGACCATAAATGTGAATTTCGTCTATTCCACATGCCGTTCCTTGTGAATGTAGATTCATCTGTCCAGATAACATGCTGAATAAATCCTGGAAGACGCTGTTGTTGATCCAACAACCAACGGCAGAAAGTGCGACGACGGGGTAGGTCTTCGGGTATCAAAGCTTGCACTTTATGAATTTTGTAAGGCCGCATTCTGTTTCTTCGCAAAACTTTGTACACCGTCCAATGTGAAACTGAGGGCCCATTTGGCCGCTGCAGTAACTTCGCAGCAGTCCTCGTGCCCAACCGGGGGTTGCGTTGGATCACATCGAGAATACGCTCCTCGGCTGCAATGTCTATTGGTCGCCCACCGCCGACCGCCACCGGAACGATCGGTTGATTCTCCAACAGTCGTTGAAACGCAGCAGTAATGGTTCGAGAGTCTCCTGGATGATGCACATTAGGAAATCTTTCCCGGTAAATTCTCAAAGCTAGAGAAGCATTGCCACGTGCTTCTCCTAAACACATAACCATGTTCCCATACTCACGAGCACTGTACACATACGCATTAGGCATGATGAGATGCACTTATTGTCTAATAAAACTTAAAATAAACACTAAATAAATAAACCTCACACGCTCAACTAAAAACTATGATAACTAATTTAACGAAATAAACTTTAAAATACGCATTCGCAAACCGAGATGGAAAGTTTTTTGCCACCGGTCGGCCTCATGCCTCGCTCATATCAAAGAAGCCGCGATCATTCGTTCTTCAGTTCTTCCTACTGAATATTCGAGTGTTGCAACTTTTTCACCAAATTCCCAAAATTGTTTTAGAAATGAAATCTGCAATTGAATGGATTGTGCATTACGTGTTCGATCAAATTTATGTTTTAACATTGTGAATTATTACAAGAACTGATATCGTAAGTAATTTTTAATAATACCGAAATAAACCAAATGAAAATTGTCTGAAAGTGTACGCTATACTAAATTATTTTTATGACAAAATAAGTAAAATGTTTGAAAGAATGTTGTGCATCATTAATAATTGTTTTCACCGTATCCTAATAAATAAAAGTAAGACAGAGAAATTATTATCCGGGTACCGTTTTTGTTAACCGATTGGCAGGAACATTGGCTAACGTAACTTAACCAACCTTATTTGCGACGCTCTTAACTTATTGTTATACGAATAAATTTTTAAAAGTGATTAATGTTATTTCAATAACATCAACTTCAATTTAAAAAAAAAGTATTTTAATAATACCATGTAATCAAAAATATTAAAAAGATAGATAGATATTTAAAAGATAGCTTACCTTTCTTTAATATCATACAATTTTTATGGGATTTATCCCGTAAAAAAATTACCCAATTAAGGGAAAATATTAGAGCTGGCAGCACGTGTAGCGGCAGCATGTCTCAGAAACCGGAAGCGGACGGACCGGAAAAGTGAAGCGGCATCTTTTATAAACACACTCACCGGTCACTGCAGTTCGCAATGATATCTAGGGCTGCCACTCATTTCACTTAGCAACTTTAATAGTAATTAATTATGTGTTTAGATTTATAAATAAAGTTTGTCGTAAAAGTACTAAGTGAAGTTTTACAATTCAACATCGCGTTTAATCATGAATAACCCGATAGGATTATACTATTGGGTTAGTCATGGAAAGTAAGTATTTATTAAGAGAAACAACTATTCCGCTTTTTTATAGTTTTCAAATTGAAACAAGAGAAATAATTATGCTAAAATTGAATCGGGAAAAAATTCAATTGGGACTCCCAATAGTTTTTCATAAAGTTTACTTTTTTAATGATTTCACACACACACACACACACACTTCTGGAGAAATGAAGTTTCTTATACATTTAGATTTTGATGAAATAAAAATGATTTAACACCTTCCCCTCATTTTAATGAAATGTATTTATCTGATCTTTTTGTGTTTTATAAAACCTAAATAAATTACTATGCGAGTTAAAAGATATCGTTATTAGTTACATGCTCTGAATAAAATCAAATTATTTTTGTCTTAAACTTTTCTGCGCTAACGTAAAAAAAACTCATTAAAATAAAGCTCACATTTTAAAGACAAGTAAATAAAAAAGTGCACTTATCAAAATCATGTAATGTAAGTTTTATTTTTAAAAATTTACAAAGATAAAAATTTTGTAAATACTAGAGTTACTAAACCGTTTTGAAATGTTTAGTCGAAACAAATGTTTTCCAGAAGAACATGCATTTTATCTAGAAGGTTATTCAAAAACGATATTTAGTCATTAAAAAGTGGCACCCCTTAACACGGAAACACTACCGATTGATTTTGCTTTACACTACTAGATGGCGTTGCATCTATCATTCTCATTCGCTATATCATCAAAACCGCCGCGATTTGCCGCTAGATGTATCTAGAAGTTTACGAGCTTGGCCTGCAGTATCTTCGCTCTCGTTTTTACTTATTGTTATTGCGTGAAAGGGAATGATCATCAATAAATAACAATTTGAAAAAATAACAAAACGCCGTTTTAAAACTACTTTTAGTAATTGCGTTTTCATTGCATTTTCTTAATAAAACACAGGAAAATGGGTACCTAAACTAGCAACGTAGAGAACTAAGAGCTTTTCGTCGCTAGATGTCGCTGAAGTTTCTCACTCGTATCTTCTGTCTCTTTTCATTCTACCAGTGGTGAAGGAAAAAGAATGAAAGTGCCCTTCGAACGTACCAAAGGTTATTGAACTCTCGGGGTCGTCTACCGCCGATCAGCTGATTTTTTCGAGTTTTAATTACATTGCGTTTTTATGGAAAATCAATAAATAGACAAATTTATTGATAAAAATAGTAATACTTAACTTATTTTACATCGCTAAAAATGAAAAAAAAATAAAAATAACATATTTTTTTTGAAAAATAAAGTAATCATTTTTTCATTGCAATGTATCCAGAATCACTTACTCTATCACTGGTTTTCGTTTTCGGAAGCGTTCCCCTAACACCCAGTATATAAATGAAATAAAGAAGGGTATTCACTGTGCTTGATTAGTATTATGATGTGATTTTTACTTCTCATCTCTTAGAATCTATTACTAACGTAATGCTTTTTATTACTTTAGTTCGCATTGGCAATACGGCTCCCAAGAGTCTAAATGAGGTCCAACCAAGAAGGAAGAGAAGTTATTACAATCTTCATGTTTATTGTTTATACTGTGACGAATATAATAAATATTTATAATGATAAATATTTTTTTTAGTTTGCTAACGAAGTGTTGCTGAGCAACATGATTCGGCCAGAACTCAATTTCTCGCAATTGCAGAGTCAAATGCGGAATCAATGAAGGTATGTTTACACAATCTTTATTAAATGTGATTTTGTTATGTATTTGAAATGAATTAATTAATAATAAATAAACAAAAAATACGCATATACATTATGATTATATCATACAAGACAGAATATGAGACTAATACCTATATATGGGTAAAATTTCGTTTATTTGTTATAGATGCTGGCAGCTGCATCAAAATTGCAGGCAGAGGCTGTAATGAGGCAGCCGGAGGTTGATGCTTCATTGATTCACGCACAAGCGATGAATAAAATAGGGGACGCCCTTTTGCTTCTGGCCCAAAATAAATCAAAGTAGATTTACAACATATATGTTTTATTTTAATATACATCCACCTATATAAAATAAAATGTAATAAAAAAATTATCTTAAGTAAAAAAACGATCAATTAGTCTTCTGCGTATGCGCTCTGCCACTGCTCGACCACTAAATCCTGTAATAATAGGAAATTAATTATTGCTAAACTTAATATCTTGGTAAACATTTAATATTTCTGATTTTAAATATAACATTACCTGCATCTTGATCATGGATATCACTAACATTTTGATTTGATTCAATTTCCTCAGGTATAACATCGTTCAATTTATAAAGCATACGTTTATTGTGCAGTACTACACATGCATTTACAATTTGACCAGCAATGTTTGGTTCGTACATCAATTGGCGTTGCCTAGAAAGACATCTAAATGTGCTTTTTAGCACACCAAAACATCTTTCTACAACATTCCTAGCAGCATAATGTGC